CAAACTCTCACACTCCCATCACCACCATTTATGAAAGGTCAGGGACAGTCTTCTTCTGTTCTAATACAGTGTTTATATTTTTGCCAAACATACCTTTCTCACTGGGGACAGAAACTCAACATGGACAATAACGCTCTCACTCATGCACACATCTATCTATCCATCCATCCGTCCGTCTATTCATCTGTCCATCTATCATTTATCACAATGCTAGGGTCCAAAAACACCCGTTCCTTAAGTCCAGGACAAACAGGTCTCCTTAAAGGACCACTCTAGGCACCCAGACCACTTCAGCTTTATGAAGTGGTCTGGGTGCCAGGTCCCTCTAGGATTAACCCTTTTTTTAATAAACATAGCAGTTTCAGAGAAACTGCTATGTTTATACTGAGGGTTAATCCAGCCTCCAGAGCCTCTAGTGGCTGTCTCATTGACAGTCGCTAGAGGCGCTTGCGTGCTTCTCACTGTGAAAATCACAGTGAGAGCACGCAAGCGTCCATAGGAAAGCATTGTAAATGCTTTCCTATGCAACCGGCTGAATGCGCGCGCGGCTCCTGCCGATGACGTCGCGAGCAAGGAGGAGAGGAGGAGTACAGCTCCCCGCCCGGCGCTGGAGAAAGGTAAGTGTTTAACCCCTTCCTCTCTCCAGAGCCCGGCGGGAGGTGCTCCCTGAGGGTGGGGGCACCCTCAGGGCACTATAGTGCCAGGAAAACAAGTATGTTTTCTGGCACTATAGTGGTCCTTTAAAGCCACACAACTGGTCTACCAATCTACACCTGCAATATTTGCATCTTGACACACTTGGATACTTGCATATAGACACACTCACAGTTTAATACTTAAAGACATGCACAAAAACACACATGAAAATACACACATGTTCATTAATGCATACATGAACACTTTGATAAACATAGCACACACAAAGACAGGTATATAGAGACAGACAGGGTCACACAAACACAAACACATAAGGGCACACATGCATACACAGACACACATATAGACTGGCTGTACTGATACAGGCATACACAGACAAACACAGGCATACACAAACACACACAGAAAGGTGTAGGATACGAATATCCATTTTGCTTAATATCCTAGCTGTTCATATAAGGGTTAATTTGAACCAAGAATAAATTTGGAATTGTATCTTCGATTCTGGGAAGAATTTATCTAATATCATTTACGAGAATGACCATACTGATTTCGAAATGTTCTTGTTAATTGTCCAAGATTAAGGTATTTGTAAATATCTTGTTTTGATCAAATATACATGTGTTATATAACGTAGAATTATAATAAGAAACAGCTGCTCATAACTTGTGAAAAACAATGTCATTGTCACGCCCATATGCTCATTTTTCCCCCTCCCATCCTGCTATGAAAATGGGGTATAAATATAACTGACGTATGAATACAATTTGAATTGGTTATTGAACATGTCTCTGCTATTCATTTCCAATTTTCAGAGCTCTGTATGAGTTGGCAAATATCCATCATCCAGAAAGGGCCAGGGCTGATTTTATCCCCAACAAACTGGTGTCAGAAGTGGGATGTATGATTGTTTATATGATGAGCCCTTTATTTTCATATTGGGACAAAAAGTCACTTCATTCAAAACGTCAAACACCACATTCTTTCTGCCATGAGTGTTTGTTGCAGAGAATTTATGTTGTAAATTAAGAAGAGAGCAAAATTTATATTTTCAGCGTTCCAACACATGCTTCATTTTTGCGCTGTAAGCTAACTTGTAGTATTCCAGTCTGTCACATGTTGTATGTGCTTTAAATTGTATGTATTCTATAAATTGTTGAATGGGAATGCTGAGATTTTATTGCTTGTGACCCAAACTGTGAAGAAGTGGGTTTGAAATTTTGGTCATGAAATATAGGATCAGAAAACCATGGACAACGGTTTTTACCTGTGTTGATATGACTTTTGGAAACTCAAACTGACCGGTCAAAATTTTGCCATACCTTTAACATGGAGTAGTATAAATATTTTGAGAGTTCTGACAAATGCAGGTGATACCATGTCTGTGCAATCTCGTCCAAATGTTCTATAAGCGTATAAGAGAGAAATTCCATTGACAGGTTTCATATGTTGCAACTGGTTAATGCAAGTGTTATACAAATGTTTAAGTCAAACGCGTTATATGGCCGTACGGGATCCCTTCTTTAAAAAATAAAAAATAAACCTTTTGGTACCAGAACTCTTAAATAAATCTGATACAAACTAAAATTGGTATACCTTACAATAATATGTTCTGAATACAGCTGTTAGAAGTTTATTCTGTGTGAATGGTGATTGTGATAAATGTGTATTTTGGGTACTCATTTTAAAGTGTGCAGTTTAATTGTCATGTATGTTAATGGGTATTTTGCTGTGTTATTTTAAATTATATTTGAATAAGTTTGTCTTAGTTTTGATACAGATGGAAATGGCAGCGTAATAATCTATTAAATAACTGATTTATTATTGAATACTAGTCCAAGAGCAATATGAGTTGTAGTCTTAAGAAAGAAAAAAAGGAGGGAGGCTGTTTTTGTAAATTTTAGCTGATTTCCAAAATTCTGTTGCAATAATGGACTTCCTGCCAAAATTCGACTTTCCTGTCTAGTTGCCAGGTGCTCTGATCTAATCTTAAAGTAGTACTGCTTGCATAGTTTGCAGACATGCATAATGCACACACATGAGAACCTATATTATGTCTGTCACAGAGTGTGACATTTATTAATTTATTTTGGATTGAGTTAATTGCCTGTCCATGAATATGCTTTTTGTATTGGCATGTCTGCTGGATATCTCCTACATGTTTTCTGTGCTATAAGATGACGTGTGATATTACAATGAAATAAAGAAAGAAGGGAGAGCACCTAAGTGCCGAATCCCAACTAGAGTGTGTATGTAGGACTTGATAGGGGGTAACCCTTGTATAAGTACAAAATAACTAAAGAGATAAGTGATCCCGAGCTGCAGTAGCAACAGGAGCGCTTGGAGGAAAGTCCTGCAGAGAGTATGCTTGTTTAAGAAGGTGTCCTTTAAAAATAGCTTTAATAAGGGTATCTACTAGAGAGTATGATCCCAAAATAGAAAAAATAATGATAATATAAAATGAAACTTAATACACCATCACCACTAGAGAAGTGATTATATACTTCGGGAGTGTTGGACTCGATGTCACAACTAGAAATAATCTAAATGTCTGTATATGGCAGCCTAAGTAGAAAAACTGCCCTAAAGAAAGACAAATAGGGGTGACCCCTAAGGTATAGTATAGAGTGCTGGAAACTCTTGTCCTTGAGGTCAGACGGACTAAAATGCAGAGTGTGTCTATATCTGTTATAATTGCCACCTGGGAGCTCAAAAATGCTGTAAACTCTTATTCTTGTGGTCAAAAAGACTAAAATGCAGAATATGTCTGTAAATGTCTCAATTGCCAACTGAGAGTTCAAATACTGAAACAGTATCAATGCATTGATAGCTACAGAGGGGAAACTGAAACCAAGTATCTCCTCTGCCTGAAAAGAGGCTAATGATAGCTATAAGCACAGTTAATGCCTGCAAAGAACCAAGCTATATATAGATAACCTCAAATGCTGTATACTGCCACTATAGGTATAAGGTGTTCCCAGTTGTACCTGTGAAGGAAAAAACAGATTCTACACTCTCTGTCTGCTGCTATCCGTCTGGAGCCACTACCTATTGATAGAAATGAAAACTATATGAGAATCCATAACTCCCGTCCTGTGATCACATCTAAGTAGGAAATAAAAACAAAAAAAGAGAGAAGACCTAACGTACGTTTCGGCGCTCCTAAAGCGCCTTTTTCAAAGGTGGCAATTATAACAGATATAGACACACTCTGCATTTTAGTCCGTCTGACCTCAAGGACAAGAGTTTCCAGCACTCTATACTATACCTTAGGGGTCACCCCTATTTGTCTTTCTTTAGGGCAGTTTTTCTACTTAGGCTGCCATATACAGACATTTAGATTATTTCTAGTTGTGACATCGAGTCCAACACTCCCGAAGTATATAATCACTTCTCTAGTGGTGTTGGTGTATTAAGTTTCATTTTATATTATCATTATTTTTTCTATTTTGGGATCATACTCTCTAGTAGATACCCTTATTAAAGTTATTTTTAAAGGACACCTTCTTAAACAAGCATACTCTCTGCAGGACTTTCCTCCAAGCGCTCCTGTTGCTACTGCAGCTCGGGATCACTTATCTCTTTTGATATTACAATGAGTATAAAGAATATTTAAAGAATATTTGCATGTCATTAACGCAATCCTTTAGTGTCTTTTTACAACAGATTAAAAAAACGCTGATCAGCCAACAAGAAAGGGGCCCCTGGGAAAGAAAAAGAAAAATATATAATTTGCTTTTCAAAATCGTGGATCCACGTTTCAGTATTATTAGGGGAGTATTTAGAGTTAACGCTACTTTTAAAGTGCATTGCATTATTTAAGAAAAATAAAAATTTGTTATCTTTAACATAAACAATTGTTATGTTATATGGTTATATAACAAGAAAAAAAATTATGGATGTATAGGATAGGTTTTTTCCAAGATTAAGATTCATCTAATATGCCTCATTGATTATAGCAAAATGATGAAATGGTATTTTTAATAGAGATCAGATAATTTCTTTTGAGGCAATTCTAAACTACTGTATTATATTTGTATTGGTATATTGAAAGCATTTTGCAGACCCAGAAGAGAATAAATAATATAATAATTATAAAAGGAACCATACTATGGGAAGAGGTCACCCTATTAAATTGCTAAGGGGTTAAACTCATTTTAATAAGCATATAAAATTTAGTTTTTGTGGTTAGAATTTTTAATACTCAATTTGAACTCAATTGAAGTATTACAACCATATCCTTGCAGGTATAGGAAACAGCTGCAATATGATTTTAATATTTGCAATATATTAGTGCTTTCAATGTATTCTGACAATGGAAAAGTTCCTAACCTCACATCTGCATTACACCTATGACCCAGACTGTCAGTATTGCAAACCCTATATGAAGACTCTGCTTTCACTGTTTATGTATACACCCCTAGACGACCGTGCTATACATGCACAATAAATCTTCAAAAGCTTATTAATATTATATCTGTGTGGTACACAAAGAGGTGTACACAAAGAGGGGGTGTGAGTTGGGTCATCTCGACCTTCATATGGAATATGCTTCCTCCTTGTTCACTTTTGGTCAAACTGTTGGTCTGTGACTGGCCCTCTTTGACCCCAACTGAATTTCTTGGGAAGATTCATGAGAAAGATACAGCAGGTTGTTTTGATATAAAGAAAGAGGGAAAAGTATGTTGTATCGGTCACAAAAGGATTGTGATCTTAAGCAGGCGAGACAAGGACATTTGGGAGGTGATAGGAGATTGAATCAGAAAAGTTTTGGAGGCAGAGGTAGATGATTTGATCAAAGGATCTAACTTTTGTAGAGGTGGTAACTTCAGCACTGTTTTAATTGTGGATAGCAGGGAACCCGGTTCTCCCTGTCAAGCTGGCCCCCCTGGTATTGCTGGTGTCCCTGGCTTCCCTGGTGCCTGTTGTGCTCCTGGACCTCAGGTGAACCTGGTGCTCAAGGAGACAAAGGAGAGCCTGGCCCAGCTGGCATTCAAGGACTCCTGGACCTCAGGTGAACCTGGTGCTCAAGGAGACAAAGGAGAGCCTGGCCCAGCTGGCATTCAAGGACTCCCACCCTAGCAGGTTCCTCAATACCAACCACAACTTTCAAGCTATACCCACACCCAACAACCTCAGCCTAATACACAGATGGTTCATGTTTTTAATACTTTATATATAGTTTTGAGTGATAAAACAGTATTAATGCTGGCTCTTAGAGGATGTACAAGTTGAAGTTGGGACCTAGACATTGTTTGCATAGGCTGCTCAATGTGAAATAACTAAAATAAAATAGGATAATAAGTATGCTTAGTCAATTTGTAACGTGGTATCCTAGAGGCATCTGCAATAAAATAAGTGTGTTTCCAAGACCTGACAAGTGAGGGCAACTTAATAACATATGTCTCCAGTTTGCTGTCCCTTCTTTATCAGAGGCCACTTGCAACACAGCAAGACAACTCTTCCGAAACCTGTATTAAACAAAGCACTTTAGAACAATAGTAATTTATTTTGTTTCTCCTATTTCATTCCTAGTTGTTCTGAAAAAAATATATTGTTTAAGTATTAAAACATAATCACACACATACAGAATTGGTGGCTTTTTGGACATCGGGATCTATAAAAGGTTTCGGTTTCCAAAGATGTTATCAGGGTCCACAAAATTTCTGACAGACTTCCTCATTCCAATTTTATTAAAGTAATGAATTGGGATTATCAAATCAAGGTTTAAATTTAAGAACAGCATTTTATTGGGAATTATACCAAAATGTATATGTTAGTGTTTTAGTACTCAACAAGCATTTATATAGAATGAGTGCTTCTCTCATCCATACAAGGCATTCTAAAGGGAAATTATGTATTCAAATTTTATAAAGGACAAATTCAATGAATTATAAGCAAAACTGAGAGAAGTACATGTTACACTAGTTAAGAGTTTAACTTTAGTTTCTAATTTGAGTTTAGCCTAGATAATTAATTTATTGATGTCGTACTGATCCTTGTGTTTGTATGATTATAGAGACCGTACTGGAGTATTTGGGCCACCTGATATTTGGGACTTCACACCAATCTCTCTGGCTGACCTACCTGCCTACCTACCTTTTTTGCAATTAAATCTGTTTGGTCAAAAACCATGCTGGCCGAAGAAACTGAGATGCTTACTTATGAGGGCATAAACTAACTTGGAAAGTCCTGAAGATGCAGTTCTGTCTAATGCCGCTATTTCTGTATTACCCTTTCAACAATAGGCGTGTTGCACAGAGTATTGTGGTGAACATCCAGCAAACAGAAGAATTAAGAACTATGTGGAAGCTGACATTGTCTTGTTGTCAGCCATATTGCTACCCTTAGCTATGTTATGGTGTCTAAGATTATGGAACAAAGTTTATGGTGTCTAAGATTCTTTATATTCCTTGAAAGACTTATAATATTTTTCTGGACTATGCTGGACTATTGAACTATTTTGTTATTTTTATTTTTGTAGAGTTAGCCGGAGAGAGAGGAAGTGTTAGCTTACTCAGGCATGGATGTACTATGTGTGTCATTGATGTATGTTGAGTGTACCAAGGATGGATTCCCATGTATTAAGTGTGGATATGACTGGACCATCGAAATAGGGATTTGATTAGGAGGCATAGGACGCAAGGTCATGATTGGGATTATTGCTAGAATTGCAAACTGATTAGAAATTATCTTATGATTTAATATGTAAGTGGGCCTTTTCAAACTCATCAAGAAGTGTTTCCCAATCCCGATACCCGAGCTATTTACTTACAAGTGTGTGTTTTATAAGTCACTAATGCTGTCAACGTGAGGGGATGACATGTCTACACAGTCATGACACTCACTTAGAGTTTACCCAGATGTGCTTTTTTCCTCAACTATGAGTTTTTGCCACTGGGTTTTTTGACCTGGCCCAATTTCACTGGGTGGACTGGTAATCCAAGACCCTGGTCCAAAGAGGGGAAATAGATTTTATTCCCATTTTTGATTATATGTGTTTACGTTGTGAATTATAATAATAATATTCCCGTTGTTGGGAATAATACACTTTGCCTGTTTTGATCCAAGGCTCAAGTTACAGATAACATGATGTGCAGTATGTTTAAAATTGGTTAACATGTCAGCTGTTTGAAATATTTAACTTGTACACTTAAAAGATGTGTACAACAGATGATTACAGAAGCTGAAAATCGACAGCTCGATCTCCTCTTAAAGGGAAAACCTATGGCACAGAGCAAATGGGGGAAATCGAGGTGAAGAAATAATGAAAGTCCCGCAGACGTGATTAGCACGTCTGAATATACCGCCTTTCGTTTCTCTGCCGCAGGCCTCCCATGGATATTCCGTAAGGTAGATCACGATATGATCTAAAGAGAGGAATTGTAGGATATGAATATCCATTTTGCTTAATATCCTAGCTGTTCATATAAGGGTTAATTTGAACCAAGAATAAATTTGGAATTGTATCTTCGATTCTGGGAAGAATTTATCTAATATCATTTACGAGAATGACCATACTGATTTCGAAATGTTCTTGTTAATTGTCCAAGATTAAGGTATTTGTAAATATCTTGTTTTGATCAAATATACATGTGTTATATAACGTAGAATTATAATAAGAAACAGCTGCTCATAACTTGTGAAAAACAATGTCATTGTCACGCCCATATGCTCATTTTTCCCCCTCCCATCCTGCTATGAAAATGGGGTATAAATATAACTGACGTATGAATACAATTTGAATTGGTTATTGAACATGTCTCTGCTATTCATTTCCAATTTCCAGAGCTCTGTATGAGTTGGCAAATATCCATCATCAACACAAACATACATACATGGACAGGTGCACACAGACTACACTGACACAGTAAAACACAAACAGGCACACACATACATAAATAGGCATACACAGACTACACATACATAAGAAAAACACATACACACTATTAAAAAAAAATTTCCCTGTGCTCTGCGCAGGTCGATGGTGAGCCTCAGCTGGTAAACTTTTAAAGGGCTGGCAGCTGCAGGTTTCTCCCTATATAGCATATACAGAGTGAGGGAGAGTAGGCAGAAAGCCGCTGGGTTTGTGCTTCCAGGGCTGGGATCACTTAACTATTACTGCTATGCTGCTCTTCCTCCCAGTATCCTTGTTGAGCACTGGCCAGTAGTGGAAGCAACACAATTAAAGAGACAAGGTAACATGGCTAGAGTGTCATATTACCCACAACCTTGTACATCTGTCTGTCTATGTATCATAGTGCATAAATCTATTAGACCCATAGTGCATAAACCCATTAAAATTAGCACACACAAAATATATTCTATGCAAACTCTCTCTATATATAATTTTTTAAAAAAAATTAGCATTTTTCCAAGTGTGTTTTTCCTACCTATGTCAGCTCTATTAGTCACTCTTATACTATACTATGTAGCCAGCAGTCACCTAGGGCGCACCAACCCAGGGGCGCCAGATTTGAGAAACCTGGCAGGAGGAAAGAGCACTGGTGGATGGGTACAGGAAACAGAAGGTCCTGTACCACGGTCCACGCCGCCAGGCCACACTACACAGGGAGGTAGGAGGCAAACAAGGGGAGGAGAGAGAAGAGACCACCGGGGAAGAGGGGGGGAGAGATAGAGACCATTGGGTGGGGGGGACAGATGGCCGGGGAGAACACTTAGGGACAGGGGGACTCTAATGGAAGGGGGGCAGGAGAGATCACTAAGGGACAGGGGGGAGTGAAGAGGAGAGACCACTAAGGGACAGATGGGGGGTGGAGAGAGGAGAGACCACTAATGGACAGGGGAGGGGAGGACTCTAAGGGACAGGGTAGAGGGAGAGCACCAATGTACAGGTTGGCAGGGGAGACAACTAAGAGACAGGGGAATGCACTAAGGGACAAGGGAGATAACTAAGGTACAGGGGGCAGGGGAGAGCACTAAGGGACACAAGGGTAGGGGAGATCACTAAGGGACAGGGGGCAGGGGAGAACACTAATAAATGGGGTGCAGGGTAGTGCACTAAGGGACAGGAGGGTAGGGGAGATTACTAAGAGATGGGAGGGGAGAGCACCAAGGGACAGGAGGGGATGGGAGAGCACCAAGGGACAGGAGGGGATGGGAGAGCACTAAGGGACAGGACAGGATGGGAGACCTCTAAAGGACAGGGGGGGGAGTGAAATAGCTTGTTAAGACATACAGAGGGTCTGAGGAAGGGGTGAAAGAGAAACACAGAGGGGCTCATGAGGGAGACACACAGAGGTACCTAGGGGTGGGAGGGGAAAGACACACAGAGGGGCCAGGGGGTAAAAGAGACACACAAAGGAGCTGGTAAGAGTAAAAAACACAAAGGGTCTGGGGTGAGTTACACAGGCAAAGGGGTTGGGAGGATGTAGAAGACATACAGAGAGAGGAGCGGGATAAGAGACAAACAAGGGGTTTGTAAGAGATACACTAAAGGGGGTGTAAGAGACAAAACTTAAAGAAAAAATATACCAAAAAAGTGATATTAACAAAATAAGTATAATAATAAAATTAAAGAGCTGCTCCCCTCTCACAAACCCACTCTTTTAAATACACAATGTATCCTTACACATACACAGAAACAAACACATGCACAGAAACATACAATGCTTCCCTACTCACACACCAAAACATAGTGAATCCTACACACACACAGAAACACACCATGCTTCCCTTACATACTCACACATAATGCATTCATTACATACACAATGCATCCCTCACACACCCGCAATGCAGCCCTTGCAAACACAATGCATCCCTTACACACACAGAAACACAATGCATCTTACACACACTCAATGCCCCCCTTACAGATACAGATTCACACAATGCATCCCCCCCACACACACACCCAGAAACACACAATGCATTTCTTACACACAAACACACACTGCTTTCTATCCCTTACACACAAACACACTGAATCCCCTATACACACACTACATCCCGTACACAAACTGGTATTCCTATACACTACATTCCATAAGAACACACACACTACATCATCTACAATAACACATAACATATCCCCTACACACATACACTTCATTCCCTGTGGGCGAACTCATGTAAGGGCCATGTAAGTGGACTTATGGGCGGGCCTTGTAGACATACTCACGGTCAGGCGCTGGGGACCCAGACCTTGAGCTGTGTAAGGGGCCTCAAAAAATGGAGCTGCTTCCTGTTCGTTGTTTTTGTGAGCACTGATACAAACAGCCTCCAGAGAGCCTGTTCTACACCAGACCAATGGAGCCAGACTGCAGCTTGAGCCCATCATTATCCTCTTGTTCTCATCTGGTGGTAAGTAGGCAATCCATTATATTTTTAGTGGCGCTAATCTCTAATTTACCACTAATTTACCAGTTTAATGTAATGGTTCTGGTGTCTATAGCCTATCCCCCGCAGGCTTTTTAATGTAAACACACTGCCTTTTCAGAGCACTGGCGTTAGCTCATATGGCAGCTCATATGGGTGGGGCATTGTGATGTCACATGGTGGGCAGAACATATGGGGGGATGGGGGTCACATTTTCGTTTGCCTATTGAGGCAAAAATCCTTGCACCAGCCCTGTATGTAGCACTGTGTGAGAAAATGACTACAACAAACGCAGCTTTGAAGACAACAAATTTGATTAGTGAACATATGGCATGCATCACACATACACAGGCATAATTCTATTAAGGTGGTTATTCATCTAATTCTGCAGTGCTCATAGCACCTCTGGATGGTAGTATGGTACCCAATAGTGCAGTTGACAAATCTATATTTTGTACAGTGCAAAATACTTGTTGTCCAAACTTGAATTAGCATCCTATGCCATTACTAAGATAATATCATAATGTGGAAATCTCTATTTAAATAAAATTTTCATTAGGACAACAT